CTGGTCAACCTGGCCTGCCTTTAGTAAGAATTCTATTAGGTTACACTAGTCCTAATTTCTCTTTCCCACTTGTATTTCTTCTTAGCAATATTCCATCCACTGATCCCTGCATTGCTCCAAGCTCTATGTTATGTCCTTTGGCTTGTGCTGTTAAAGTTGAGCCCAATTTCTTTTCCTTGCTTCAAGACTCTGTTGCAGTGCAGTGCTTCTAATACAATCTCAATGAGCATGAGTGCAGTCTTCCTTACTGTGCTTTAGATAAAGATCATTAAATATTTTTTTTCTTTAACAGCAATAATAATTATAGGTATCTTTATAAAAGCACATGAAAATAGAGGACTAAAAATAAAAATATTGAATATAAACAAATTTATGGAAATGTAAATATTATAAATATAAGTTTTACTTGTTTATTTGAGTTGTAGGTTGGGGAAGACAGAGACAGAGACAAATAGTGAGAGATCTTCCATCTACTTCTCCTCTCTCCATGTATCCACCACTGGAGGGGCCAAGCAGACCTAAAACAAGAAACCTGGAACCCAGTCCAGGTCTCCCATATCCTAAGAAAGAACTTATGAGCCATCATTGGCTGCCTCCCAGATGCATGAACAAGATCTGGATTAAACCATACGCAGGGCTCTTCCCTGGGCACCTCTATATTGGGATAGAGACATCACAGGTGGTGATTTAACCCAGTATACTACATATTTGCTCCTAACATAACTTTTAAGGAAGAAGAATGTATTGTAATCTCATATCAGTTTTCATTTGCATATTTTTCCTTTATTTTACCTACAGATGAGATATTTGTCAGTATTAAGGATGCAATCCTGGGCAAGATTAGTACATTTGGAGTATAGCCTTTGTTACTTTCCAAATTTCAAAATTCAAATCATGGCCTGTGTGACTCAGACACATCTCCTATTTAATCTATATAATGCTTGGTATCCTAAACTAGACAATTAGAAATAAGGGGCAGAATGGCCTATTTCATAGGGTACCTAAAATAATTAAATGAAATAATCTATAGAAAGCACTTAGCAGAGCAGCAGTAACGGTTCAATAAGGACTCACCAATGACCCTCAATTTATCATGTTCTACAATTTTTCTTCTTCATTAAAATACTTTAGATATTGGCTTGAAGCATAAGGAAATATGAAGATAAACTCAAAAGTGGTGAATACTAGCACCACACAGCATCTTCCAAAAATTAAGCCCAAGGACTAACAGATGAACTATCTCAAGTCAGACAGCTGCGTCCTGCTTCTGCAGCTGTGGGATTCGCTGTCATTGATGTAGGACACTAATGATTGCATCCTTCTGTCTAATGGCCTAGAAGACACAGGCACAGGGGTTCTTGGCCACACACACCCTACATATGTGGCCCAGAAACACAAGGCAGCTCAGGAAAATATCTCCTATGGCTGAAGACAAGACCATAAGGACTAATCAAGATCCACAGCAATGTTGGTAGAAGGCAGAAGATCAGAACTGCAATTATATCTAAAGGCCGCTATGCAGGCGCAAACCTGTGCACTAAATATAAACTGTGGGACAACGTGCCAACATAGGGGATCTAAACAGGATATAGACCAATAACTAAAATATTCAGGACAAATGGAAAATCCACCTCTGATGCAAAAAATTCAGGAAAAGAACTAGAGCAAGGAAAGATGCTCAATCAATAACAATACTAGAATCAATCACATTAAAATTATCTAGATGATAAGGATTTGAAAGCGCTTCAAAATTCACTTACTGATTCTCCTAAGTGGAATAGAAAAATTAAAAATCCAAACATAGAAATACAAGTTGCAGAAAAGAACCAAGTGGAAATGATATAACTGAAGTATACAACAATTGAAACAAACAGGCAAAAGTTTTGCATGGTCTCAGTTGTAAGGCAGAGATAACAGCAAATAGTTTCAGTAAACTTGAAGACAGATCAATAAAATGTGCTCAATTTGAACAAGGCAGAAAAGAAGACTGGAAAAATGATCAGAACCTCAGGAATCTATGGGAAAATAACAAACTTATAATCTAATATTTGTAACATGGGAGTCTCAAACGGAAAAGAAGTAGAAAATGACACTGAAAATGTATCAGAAAAAATCATGGTGGAAAACTTCCTAAATCTGGAAATAGTTATTATAATTCAGAATTAACTTTTTTACAATTAGAGTGACTGATACCATTTAACAGGAAACATAAAAAACATAAAATCTTACAAGCTTTTTGACTACTCTTTCATGATATAATTATCAAAAGCCTGTTTCTTCTAATTCTTAGTAAAAGCCTGTTTCATTAGTAGTTTTTTTTGATGCAAGAATGTTAAGCCCATGTAATTCTCCATAATATTAATCTTAAGCTTTTTTAAGACCATTTGTTGTCTATACTCAAATATTACAAATTTGAAATATTCTTCCACATTTTAAATAAACTAATAGAAAGATACTATATTTACTCCTATATTTGCCACTTTAGATTTATCATTTTCAAAGATTTGGATTTTCATCTGTTATTTCCATTAGCATGTGCTTCAATAAACAGCTATAATACCTGTTTTAAAACTCTTGCTAGCTAATTCTACTATTTGGGTCATTTTGGATTGTGTCTTCTCTCAGACACTACATAACTTTTTATACTGTTGCATAATTAATTTTGCATAGTTCATTCCTCAGATGTCTGCCACAGAATTCAGAACCAAATACAAGTATGTCTTGTAGATGGCAGCGACCCAGCTACTTGCCTCCTAGGGTCTACATGTGGAAAACAACTTTACCTGTTTACTCAAAGGATGGAGTTAACTCAGGAATTATAGCAAAGTGAGGTCTTGAAGACTGGTGTGGTAGCCTAGCAGCTAAATTTTTACCTTGCATGCATCAGGATCCCATTTGGGTGGAGGGTCATGTCGTGGCTGCTCCACTTCCCATCCTGCTCCTTGCTTGTGACCTGGGAAGGCAGGAGAGGACGGCCCAAAGCCTTAGGACGGTGCACTCATGCAGGAGACCTGGAAGAAGCTCCGGATACCTGGCTTTGGATCTGCTCAGCTCCAGCTTTTGTGGCCACTTGGAGAGTGAACCAGCAGGTAGAAAACCTGTTTCTTTTTCTCTCTGTAAATTTGGCTTTTCAAAGAAAATCTTAAAAAAAAAAAAAATGAGGCCTTGGAATACTGGCCCACTAGTGTTTCACGGCAAGCTGTTTCTTCCTTAGTAAGCAGATCCCTGGACTCCTCTGCTTCCCCACTGGCTGAATGCCACGGATCTACAAATTGGCCAGAATTTGCCTCAGCTGTTTCAGACACTAACATCTTGTTTGCCTAAGAAGTTTCAGGTGCATGTACCCTAACTGTTAGGTTTGCTAGTTGTAAACATCTTTAAAAATGATTCATTTAGATAGATTCAAACTGCAGACCAAACTTTAGTTTTGTTGTTTATCTGTGTTCAGTTTTTCCCACGTATGTGTAGCACAGGGATGGGTCATTGCTGTATGTGGAGTTTTCACAGAACTTGGGCTCCCCTTTGAACAATTCCTTTCTGAGATTTCTCTCTCATTTCTTACATTGATTGCTTGTACTTAAACTCTCTGCAGGCTCTTAGACCAGAAAGACTAGGTTTTTCATTAGAGTTTTTTGCCAGGCCATTTGATGCCGATTTTGTTGTCAGAATTGAAGTTGCAAAATGTGAAAAATTCACTTCATTTCCAGTTAGTTCATTCTTCAAAATGTAACACCCTCTGAACACTGCCTGTTTATGCTCCAGTACTCTTTGATTTTATTCAGAATCTGGACTTATCTGTGGATAATTGATTTTCTTTTCTTTTGGACAAAAATCATACAATTACCTGGATTAATTTTGATGGGGAAAATGATGTAAGAAGAAATTTTAGATTGCATTAAGGTTCTGAAGTGTACTTTAAAAATAATACATGTTAAAAAAATAAAAATCAGAAAAGTACAAATCAATTTCTTTCAAGCATACATGCAATTTCTGCTCTAGTTTTCCTTTTCTTTTTTTTTTTTTATTATTTAGAAGTCTGAGAAACAGACATAGAAAGACCTTCCCTCTACAACCCAAATACCTATAAGGACTAGGGCTGGGCCAGGCCTATGTCAGGTGCCCAGAATTCAATTTGGGCTTCCCATGGGAGTGGCAGGAACCCAAGCACCCTGCCTTTCTAGGTGAGCATTAGCAGGAAGCTGGAATTGGAATTGGGGTTGGGAACTGCAACTCAGGCACTGTGATACAGTATGCAAATGTCCTAAGAGTGGTCTTAGTCACTGCACCAAATGCCTATCCCTCAACTTATGTTCTTAAGTGTTTTTAATGTTCTTAAATATAAAATGCCAATAATCTTTGTGAAAGTACACCTGAAGGTATATATGGGTTTGGCATATTCACAGCACCAAATATGAACTTAGGTGTTTATTGAATACAATAAAAAATATTCTCTTTCATAATTAAGATGGCTCTCTCTTTTTTTAAGATTTATTATTTGAAATGCTGTTACAGAGAGAGGGGAAGAGACAGAGACCTGTTTTCTGTCCACTGGTTCACGCTCCATACGGCCACAAAGGCCAGGGCTGGGACAGCATGAAACCAGGTGCACGAGCTTCTCCTGGGTCTCCATGTATATGTGGGAGCCCAAACATTTTGGTAATCCTATGCTGCTCTCCCAGAAGCATTAGATACAAACTGGCATCCATATGGGATACTAGCATCCTTTGTATGTATCACAAGATGGTAGAGTTTTATACTGAGATGTCACTATACCTCAACAGGAGCCCTGAGACCTCATTTCTTAAATTTTCTTTAAGAAAAAAAAAATCAAATTAATATTATACATATACATATATATTTTCTCAAGAGTACCTGGGAAAATTATTCACTACGACACAGTATCTTATTATAGTGTGTTACACAGTCATGTTCAAGAATAAATCAGTCCAAAGAAGTTACATCAAAAGCATGCTAAAAATACTTTATTGTCATTATTAAGATGATTAAATATATACTTTATATTCAATATACTTTATATCTGACAAAACAAATATTTACTAAAGGTTAAACATTTTAAAAAGCTTTAAGCATTGTAATAACTTTAAGTATACCATAGGTATTCTACATTTTTCAATTAAACAAAGAAGACTAAACATTTTACACAGTTTGAAGATATCAAATGCCAGATAGAGAAAGAGAAAATATTAGCACCCTGGCATGTTTATTCCTGGCCCATTTTCTGCCCACTGGAAAAAATTGCACTGTTTTTCCTTCCCCAGAGGACACACAAAGAAATTCTTCCCATTATTAGGTCCGATCTTCAACACTGTTCTCATGATGGTGCGCTTGCCATGGTTGCAGAGCGGGAAGGACAAATCAGCCCACTGCGGGGGGGAAAAAGATGAGACTGTGAAAAGATGGGAAGTTACAATCATGTGTGGACTAAACTTGGGCTCACCTGATTATAAAGTACCGTATTCTCTTCACTGCTGTTAGGATTCATTTGGCATTGTAAAACAGACACAGTTCATTAGTTGTTGCCTTTAAAAATGCTTACATGCTATAAGAAGGATTTCTCAAATTTGTTGGAAACCTACAGCCAATTGCCGTATTTCTGAGCTTTCACCTATTTAAATAATATTTACAGTTCTTTCAGTTTATGAATAATTGAAAACTACCACAATGTGGCTGATAGTAATGTCCCTGCTATATCCATCTGTTTTAGTTAACACTGTGAGATCAAAGGTTTGTCATGATTCTAATACTAAACTCGCTGGCTGTGGTAGGGAAAGTCTTGCCTATGGGCCATAGAAGGCTGCCAAATCAGTCATTTGTTCTGGCCCTGACAAGGCAACTGCAATTCAATAAATCTACAGCAGGTTAATTTTTAAGTTGATAATTCTATGGCCCATGAATGATGTTATGAATATCCAAATAGCCCATGTCTGAAATAGGGTTCCCTACTCCTGCAAAGGAAAGAATGAATCCATGGGGACTTGCCTGGAATTGGGCAAATTTCATTGTGCTATTCATATTAGTTTTGGCCTCAGGAGAGGTATGAGGGAGACTATTCTCTTATTTTCCACATGACATCTACTAAAGCTTCTAGAGAAGGAAATCTGCAAATGTAGCAGAATAGCTACTTCTGGTCTAAAAAATCATTATCAAATTTTCTCTGGGAAATTTCTTAAGAAGGTATCACAATGGAGACATTTTGTTCTCTTAAAAGCCCAACCAGACTGTTACGTTGTTGCAGCACTAAAACTTGGAAAAGCATGCATCTAGATACACAGACTGGTGACACTGGTCACTTGGAGGACTGTAGAAAGTACGATCAACTTCTATGATCCGATCGAACAAAAAAGGAGTCAAACTTGTGTAGAGTTCACTCTGGTTACTGCATGCAAGGAGTGCAAATTATTGTTCCTGTGGACCAGTGCATAAACCCACTGAGTTCAGGGCAAACAAATGTCTAACGTGGATTTTGAGCTACATAAGTCTTACAGTCTTTGTTAGTCAATACCCCTCTGCCTTTATAAACCAACTGCAACACTTCTATGCCTGTGATTACAAATAAAATATGGCCTAGTAATTGCTTACTTATTATTTTGTTGACTGTTTTCAGTTGAATTCAAAGTTTAAGTTATTCAACGTTCACGCTTTAAACTGAATGCTAATGTGGCTATTCAGCCATATTCAAAAATTTAAGGCTAAAGCAATTTAAAATGTTGAACAACAGTTTAAAAAAGGCACTTTTTAAAAATTTTAATGATGAAAACGTAGGTGCAACACTCAGGACAGTAGTTAGGATTATGTATGGAACACTTGCAGCCTGTGGCACAGCCCCTGAGTTAAAGATCTGGTTTTGTTTCCAATTCCAGCTTTCAGTTAGTGAATACCCCGGGAGGCAGCAGGTGGAGCCTCACTATTCACATGGGAGATCCAGATTGAATTCCAGGACCCTGGCTTCATCTTAGCCTGGCTCTAACTATTGCCAGCATTTGAAGAGTGAGTCAACAATACAAGATCCTCTCCCTCTCTCTTTGTGTTTGAGTGTATGTTTGTGTGCAAGGTGGTTCTTCTCAAACACATTGAAAAATGCACAAATTTAAAAACATTAAATTACACTATAGTATGCTTTATAAGTTGTAACACGTACTTCAAAAAAGTCACACTGTGCTTCTCTAGGTAGAGGACAAGCATAAAACCGCCTTCCCTTGTTGTCACCGTCTTTTCTCACAATTCTGAGAACGCAGAAGCGGTTGTGTTTACTGCATCGAGGAGTGCTGGCATTTAAGGTACAAGGACCATCTGTTGTATTAATTTGAAGATCACTGTAATGACAGGTTACAAAATAACTGTAGCATACTAGTGTTAACGGCATCACTCACACCACCTCACCCCCACACATTAGCATTCTACTTGTATAAAGAAATTGTATCAAAAAGTGAGAACAACAGGCTCTGTTTCAGGTAATTACACACAAATGACTACTTTTTAAAATTCTTTGTTATTGTGGGTAATTCTAATTTATTTTCAATGCTATCTATGTATCCAAGCACATAATCTAAATTTTCTAAAGAGCAAAAGTAACTGAATCATACATTCAATTCGTCAAATTTTCCTCATTTTCATGTCTAATGTTTTGACTCATTTCTTATATTCAACATTAGTTTGTCTACTTTTGGTTCCTAAAAAATATTCTCAAGTTCAGAAACCCCAGTTGTCACATTGTCCTCCTTACTCCGAGCAATTAGCCACAACCTTATTTTCTCTAACAATGATCACTGAGATCTCCCAGTGTCTGCTGGCAGCGTTTATGTTCTCAGATCAAGGCTACCAAATAGTTGCAGTCAAACTGTAAAAAAAAAAAAAAATCAGGCTTCCTGGATGAGTGGAAGCAAGTATTCCCTAAATCTAGCAGGGACATTATACTCTCCCCTGTAATTAGAATCAAGAGTATTGAGAGGTTAACTCTGAAAACAGCATAGTAATCTCAGAAGCTGGCCTTGTACTGTAGCTGCGTAAGCTGAATTTTTTTCTTACAAAGAAGTTTCATTATTATTTTTAATTTTCTATATTTTGCATATTTTAATAATGCCTTTCTAAGAGTTAGAATTTTAATAAGCCATCTGAAGCAAAAAAGTGTTCACATTAATTAAAACCAGAAGTCTTTCCCCTTTAAAATTTTAAATGAAAAAACAGTTCATTCTTTCTCATGGGGGGAGCATTTCTAAAGAATAAAATATCTTTAATTAAAAAAAAAAACTTAAAAACCAAAGATATTGTTCATTTCTCTGCTTTGTGCGCTGCTTTTCCCACACACTTGTTTCTATAATGATGCCTCCAGGCATCATATCTAATTGAAATGTGCAGAGAACGTGATTTTTTTATTTGTGTCTAAACTGGTTTAAACTCGTTTATAAAACAGATGCTTAAATATACTGCCTTGAAATCGTTTGCGTGGCCTCAAATATTCTGAGTGCAGGTTTTGAAGCTTTTCATACAGCAGCCATTTATAAACTGAAGGCAGCTGTAGGCATGGCTAATGAAATCAGTATAATTGAACATTTCTCTAGCGACTTTTCCTTGGTCCCTCTCTCAGGGTAGGGCTGGTGGCTTGTCTTTTAGAACTGTGGGTAATACCAAATCAGAAAGAAGAAGGAAGAGAGGCAATGTACTCTTCCACAACCTTCCATCTCACCAGTCCAGGGCAGAGGGGGCAACATTAAAATTTTAACTTCTAGGGAAGCTGAGTATCTGGGTAAGATCAACAGATTTCAAAATGGAAGCAACTCATAATTTTAAAACATTGAGACAAAAAAAAATAAAGACTAGAAATTAATGAAACACTTTCCTAATTGAAACTCTGCACACATAAAAAGTTTTATGGATTGTTTTAAAGGTTTCTGTTTTGGATAACAATCACTTAAATGTTGTCTAATCCACTTGCTTCAACCTGGAGGTTTCCAGGTTGCACATTATCCAAGAGAGGCTAAAAACTGATCTCTAGGTAAAGCTTTTCCGGGAAGAGGCGCAAAAGCAGAGGGTAGGACCAAGCAGAGAAGGAACACATCTACCTTTTGATTGATTTTTGTCTTCCATTTGGTTTCTTCCTTGGTGTAAAGAATAAATATTCACAAGAGCTCTTAGCCCACTGACTAGGGGCATTAACATCACCTGAGAGCTCATTAAAAATACAGGATTATCTGCCCCTGCTCCAGATCACCTACAGAATTAGAGTCTGTGTTTAACAAGATCCCCAGGTGACTCCTATGCACATTAAGTTGGGAAACAGTGAAAGTAACCAACTACTCATGCCGCCTGCAATCACATCAGCTCTAAACATGCACAGACTAATCTTCATTTTATGATAGAAAACATTTTCCAGGAAAATTAAAGGTTCTGATTAAATGATAACATTTTGACTTCTCTTTGTGTCAATTATTACTTAAAAACTTACGTATTGCATAACCTTTCATTGGGTAAGTTTGATATACAGAATATCTTCACTTTTTGATGATTAGAATCATCAATGGGTATATAAATACTGCGTTACAAATGAGCTATCATAGAACAGGGCTTGGTAAAAGATTATGGATTGGCAAACATTTCTAACAACACACATTTATATGCATAGTTCTATTGCTTTCTGTTGCAACTACTTCATTCTGTTATTTGCAGTCATCAAGTATAATTAATCAAATGGCTACAGATTTTTATTTGAACAGTTGGTAGACTGGATTTGATCTTTCTGGCTGAAGTTTGCTGAAAGACAGGTCATTAGCAGTAGAAATAGTGCTTAAGGCATTGAAGATTCTCAACACAGTTATCAATTAAAAAATGAAATTGAACAGAGATCAGATAAACACTACCAAGAAGACACACAGACTGTTGCCAATCAGAGATTTGTAATTTTAAAGTGAATATTTTTTTCAATGGTGAATTCCTCACAGTTTAATTTACTTTGCGGATAGGGTGAAATGTTATAAAAATGTTGCTTGAAAACATTTTTTAATTAGTAAGCCTATTTGAATGTCTATTATGTCATCTAGGATTATTTCAAAGAGTAAAACAAACCACAGTGGGTAAGCTACTGCCTGTGATACTGGCATTCCATCTCAGAGTCCTAGCTGCTCTGCTTTTAACCCATCTGCCCGCACATGTGCCAGGAAAAACAGCAGAAGATGGTCCAAGTACCTGGGACCCTGTTACCCATTAGGGGGACCAGAAGGGCATTCCAGGCTTCAGGCTTCCATCTGACCCAGCCCCACAGCAGCAGAGTGGATCGGCAGATTAAGCATCTCTGTCTTTCCCTTTCTCTATCACTCTGCCTGTTGAAACAAATCTTTAAAAAATAGAGCAGAAGTTAAATGACCCACATAGTTCTGAAATCCTTAGGGACTGAAAACTGTAAGAGGCAGCCCAGAAACAAGAGGGTGTAAGTAGTTGCGGTGGTGATTATATGACCCTTTCAGTACCCCTGATGAGAGAAGAGAAATGTTAAAGATTGATCTAGTGTCATTTCAGTCATCTATGTGAGGCTTTACATCAAGTCAGGAAAAGTTTCAATGCAGAACACATGCTTTCTTTGAAAGTGCTTCAAAATGCACACAATAACCAGATTAAAAGCTTCGTTATTATTAACAATTATTCTGGACTAGATGAAAATTTGTTCAACCATCCAATTTACAATCCAAGAGCTGGACGATATTCAGAATTATCTTTACAGATAAGTTTGGAAATATGTCTTATTATCATAGCATGCATCTTGCGGTGATGGGATTGGTCATTAAGAGAACAACAGTGTAATTAATTACCCTATAGCAATTAAAGAAAAAATAAACTGCCTATAAATTCTGAGTGGACCACCTGCTCTCTTAGTATTGTTATGAGCTTCTACTAGGCATCCTGTCCACAGGATGAACACAGTAGCTGCCAGACAAGAAGAAAAATGAAATAAATGACAGTAATTTGCAATTTATTCCTTGTAAAGTAGCTGGGTGCAGAAGAGCTGCTGGGTGAATTTATTTCATCACTTGACATTTATTCTGCTAGTTGATATTGATTGATTGTGCAGTCTCAGTCCTGGTGGTCTTATATTTAATACACACATATGCTGCAGCCTCTCCATGTTATACTGTGCACTGTTGAGTAATCATATGATCCCACTTCTAATGGCTTATGAAAAAAATCACTTAAATTAAAGGTTACATTCATTTTTTTAAAATCTCTAATTCATTAGTTAAATTGTCTGAGATTTTCTATAAGCCACTAAGGAAATAAAAATATGCCAAGATATATCATCCTAGGCACAATGAATGGCACAATATTTTTAAATGATCACTTTTACTTCTTCACACTTAAGCCACAGAACAAAAAAACCTATTCAAAATGATTTTGTCTGAAGAGATAGCCTCTTAACTCAAAGCACCCTTAGCCAACTCCTTTATGAACTGCTATCATGAGCCACTGATAGGATTTAGGTGAAATGTTGGTATATTTCTCTATTCAGTTCCAAGTCCAAATTCTACAGCTTAGCTCAAATTGTATCAGCCACAGAAGTTACACTTTGTTATCCTTAAATGATTTTGGACAAAATGTTTGGAAAAGTCAATCAAGGATAAATCATCAAGCTTAACTGATGATGACTTCATGTGGACAAAAAACTCATGATAATGCCTGGTGCTATAGCCTAGGGGCTAAATCCTTTCCTCGCATGTGCCAGGACCCCATATGGTGTTGGTTCATACCACAACTGCTTCCCATCCAGCTCTCTGTTTGTGGCCTGAGAAAGCAGCAGCAGAAGGCCCAAAGCATTGGGGCGTGTACCCCTGTGGGAGATCCGGAAGAAGCTCCTAGCTTCAAATTGGTTCAGCTCTGGCCATTGCAGCCACTTCGTGAGTAAACCACGAGATGGAAGATTTGGCTTTCTATCTCTCCTTCTCTCTGTAAATCTGACTTTTTCAATAAAAATAAATCATTGGGAGGAAAAAAAAAACCTCATGATGAATGCATCTGTTGAGCAAAAACTGTTTCAATTTTTATGAAACCAGTTGTAAGGATTTCCTAGGAGTGAACACTAAGTGATCTTTCTTCCCACTGCTTAGAGGTGCAATGCTCCCATGAACAATAAAATACTATTGAGAGGAAAAGTTGGTAATTAGTATTCAGTCTGCAACTGCTTTAGATTTTAACCCAAAGAGATTTCTCTCTATTTCCCAATGGCAAGTAAGAAAATATATGTGAGGAAAAGGCCCTTCATTCTTCACTTCATTTAAAAATGCTACGTATATGACATCTGCTGTTCAATTTTATTTATGAGTAGAATTTTATTTGTGAGTTAGAGAAACAGAGAGAGAGATTTGATATGCATATCACCCCTCAAATGCTCTCAATAATCTGGTCTGAACCAGGCAAAAGGCCGTCCGTATCTGGGAGCTGGTAACTCATTTTGGCCTTTCCACATGGGTGGCAGTGACCCAAGGGCAGTGACTCTTGAGCTGTTACTTTTGCTTGAAGAGAATACAGTGGTAGGAAGCTGGAACTGGAAGTGGGGACAGGACTACAACCCAAGAACTCCAACTTGGGATATGAGCTGGGATGTGGTCATCTCATGCGGCACCTTGACGACTGTGCCAGACATCTGTTTCATGCCTGCTGTTTAGAGGAAAAAAAGCAACTGAAAAAACAGAATGTATAGGGAAAGGTTTCTCTTTGATGGCAGCATCAAGTCAGGGAGTGGCAGGAAGCCCAGACGAAGGGATGAAACAAAGTGGGGAAAGTAAACAGAACAAAATAATTGATTCAGGAGCTTCTGAAGAAGGGATGATAGCATTTATGAAAATTTCTGTATGATGACAGCAATTAGGATCTTTTTTCTAGATGTGAGGCTACTTGTCTCATAAAATATATCTTGTTATGTAGTATTCATTAGCTGTAATTATAACTTACACATTTCATATAAGAAAGGAATAATGTTGCTTTTGGACTTTTTGGTTGAAATAAAGAACATTATCTCACAGTGTTGTTTGAGATATAGTTATGTCCTTTAACAGAAATGTCACTAAAGTTATATCAGAGACCTATCTTTAAAATATAAGATATTAAATTTTTATCAAAAAATTTCCTTTTTAAAGGACTTAAATTCATTGGAAGTAAATATTTTTTTAAAAAAACTTGCTAAAACTGGTGATTGATAAACTCAAATGGCTGAATAATTGAAATACATCCTCTTATTATTTCCAGTATGCTTCAAGTATTCTGTATAAGTGCATACTATTATGGTCAGAAAAAAATAGCATACATGTACAAAAACCCATTTTTTTTCTCAATCCTTTCTTTAACACCATAATCTAGAGAAAGGAGCAAATCGCTTTGACAGTTTTCCAGCATCTGATTTATGTCTACAGAATCAATTTGACTTCCTTACGAGTGGACAGTGTTTTTTTTAATCCTCTTAAAGCTTAATGTAAATACCATAAAGACCAAGGTTAAAATCATCATACCTGCTGGAAAATCCAGGGTTGCAACTTTGAAGGTCTCGGGATACGTAGTGGGTTGTTTTCAATTTTTTATGTGCAGAACTGAATAATTTAGATTGAGGGAAGACCATTGGTGCTATGTTCACTTTGTCAGATGGTTGAGTTATATAGTTTGTTCTCTCCTTAGAGGGGTGTCGTGCCTCACTAAAAGAAACGTTAGTAGAAAGCATGTTTTGAAATTCCCCGTGTAGTGTCTGATTTGGGCTTTTTGTTCTTTCAAAAGTATTGGATTTACTGGTAAGATCAGTCAAGACAAGGGTTGTAGCTCCAAATGCAGTTTTCCTGTTGATCTTGATTTCCGAATGTGACTTTCCAAAGCTATTACAAGGATACTTTACCAAACTGTTAAAGGCAGTAGAGTTTTCTTCATTCCTGAACAGTGAATCTGAAAAAATAGATAAATTATTCCAAAATACTTTTATAAATCAATTAGATATTTGAGATGTCTTATTGGATTAAAGGTTAATTAATTTTATTATGGTTTAATAATACATAGCTTAAATAATATCATGTTAGCTTGGGTAAGTCATCATTAATCAAACTCTGGTTGGGAAATGAAGTATTACTTATAATACAAAATATTAACAACTTATAGGCCCTCAAGATGGCATTAGCAAAGATCTATATTTGTTTTTATGCTTAAGCATTTGAAAGTTTTTTTGGTTTTGTTAATAGCAGATCTTTCCTACAGGATGAGACTTATTAAAACAAAGATGATTTCAAAGTCACTATTAAATATGTGGGTTTCTGTAAAGTTCCCTGGGATTGTGGAATCTATAATATTTTGCAAACTGTAACTAAGATGGATGCTTGTCACTTTCAGAAAAATTCACAAGAAAACAGTTAATTAAGACATGTAAAGGCATTTCAGAATGCTGTAAGCAATAAATGTGGAAACTGAAGACTGGGTTTCCAAGGGCTCTTTTTCTCTGAAAATGATCTAGAAGAAGGAGGAATAGAAATAGGAGATTCAATCCTTTCTGCTATTAGCAAAGCTGTGCAAGGGGTGATGCCCGCCTTTCTGGCCCAGGGAACAAAACACAAAATGACAGCTAACACAAAGTTGGGGTCCATAAGTCAAGAACGAACTTTCTCATCTCTAATTGAAGAAAGAAATAACACTCCAAGACTACAATAGAAGCAGCATCAATGAGATGGTTCTTAATCACAGGTTTGCTCTGAGGTTTTACATTCTCTAAACGCATGAAATTGTAAGCTATAAAGAGTTATTTTGAAGGATTTCAATGAAATCAGTACAATTGTCTGTGTAAAGATTTTAATAACAAGGGGTAGGAAGGATAAAGAAGAGAAAAAAATCAGCATTTTCTATTCCACCTGCAAAGATATTCTTACAGAAATCCTCCCTTTCAATTTATGAAACACTTGGACTGAATAACAAACTCAAAAGTTGCTGAAATCTGCATAAAACAAAGCTTTATTGAATAATTCATTAGAAACAGTAGAGAACAGATGTGATCATCTCAGTTTTTTGAGATACAAAGGCACATACTGTTTTAACACAAGCATGTTTTGCCTCCCTGTTAAAAAAAAATACATCCAACAAAATATTATCATGATTTACAGGCAAAAGCAGGCAATTCCTATAAACCTTTTAAGAGAGACAACATTTTACTGAGTTACAGAACAGAGGATCGAGCAAGATATATTCCTGACTTTATATAATTAAATTTCTTTGAAATGTAACAAACTGTAAATCAAAATTCTGACTTACCAACAGGCCTTGAGGTCAAGCAAGCATCACATGCTTTAGCAGAGGGCATATTTATCAGTGTGCAGGCAGCACAGGCCCATTGTTCTTCAGATTTCCGAGCCACACAGTCTGTAAGATCATCCTGTCTGCTAGATGTCCCACCAATGAGAGTATTTCTACTTGGCAATTCACTATAAAATGGTTTTTAAAATTAATCATTAACATTGCTATGATTGCCTTGCTCTAATAAAATGAATATTTATCTATTTGGAAGGCAGAGAGAACAAGAGATAGATACACAGACTGACAAAAAAAAAGTTCAGCGAGATCTCCCATCTATTGGTTTATTCTCCAAATGTCCAGATTAGTAGGGGTGAGCCAAATTGAAACTAAGAACTCAATCTGGTTTTCCTATGTGGGTAGCAGAGACTCAATTGCATAGGCCATCCCAGTGGACAGGGTGCATTTTCACTAAACTAGATTCAATAGTGGAGGTAGGACTTGATTCTAAGCATTCTGCTCATGCCTTGACTATTTTAGAAAATACAACAGAACCATCAATAACCCAATGCTATCTGTTTGTTATTGCTTACAAGTTCCAATCATATTAAAAATAAAACATTTTAATTTGGGCCAGGTTGATTACTGTTAGTCCTAAATAAAGTATTTTTTCTTTGGAGTTATAACGGTGTGCATATATATTCAAACAAGCCAAAAAAAAAAAAAAAGAATTGGCATAATCACAAGGAAGTGTTTCCTAAGGAAAGTTTTAAGGAAGTCTTTTTCTTTAAAGTAAAACTAAAATGTTTACTCAATGAAATCAGGGGAAAAAAAGTTAGGCTTAGAGTGCTGAAAGGACACTGAGAAAAGGTTTATGTAATTTCATGTACACTGATAACTCTAGAAATTCTAAAATGTCTTTACAGTATCCATTATAGATACAGAACCATGACAATTAGTTGATCTATAATAATGAAAAAGTTATCTACCACTGCGCTATTCCCTTTCATATAACTCTTCTATGTCCAACAGCTAATAGTCACTGCATATTTAATTATGAAATTTATAAGCAAACAACAAAATCTACACTGGATTTTAGCTACACATTTAAACCACAGTTATTTTACTAAACTGCTTAGATCACTGAACACAAGCTGCCTCTGTGTTTGACACAGTCCTTCTGCCTAACACACAGCTGTGGGTCTGCAGAGCATATCATGTTACACAACCACAGCGGTCATGGATTCCTTCCATCATTCCAAACTGCAAATCCTCCTCCAACTAAAAGCAAAAGGTCTTGTTTATTAGAACATGAGTTCTTCGACTTTTAAAAGTAATGTTTTGTCTTTTGTAACATTTTGCAGTTCATCACAGCAGTCATGGGAGATGATTGCGAATAAAATTTTGGAACTTCCATTCTGCAAGAATACTAGTTTTTCTTCAGTAAATGGTAGCAGCATACACTCCACTCATCAGGCCAAAATCCTTGAAGTCGTCTTTAACATTCTTCCTCCTCACTTCCAATATCTAGTCCACTAGAAAATCTTAGACTGTTACAGGGGCAGGTTTATCATGAAGCTAATGATACTTAGCCTTCTATGAAGGCTATGATGTGTGTCCAACAGGCCAGGGTAGGGAGCATGGAGAATGGACCCAATAATTCAAGCCATGTTCTGGAGGATGAGAATACTGCCAGTGTATGAGTCCAGGATTCCATGCAAGGTCTGTATGTGGCCAGCACCTCCTCACAGCTGCTCAGCACCCAGCTGGAGGGTGGCCTCGATCACTTCAAGTAAAAAAGAGGGAACAAGAGATGACGCTCCATTTCCTGCTCTGGAGTCATTAGGACTCTGAGTGCAAAGTCAGAAAAGTCAAAAAGCACCCTATCCCTAACCAAAAACTGCTTGGGAGAGGTGCAGAATCTAAACCAAATGAAGATGAAAGGGCTGCGCTTCTCGCAGATCATCAGGCCAGTAGCAGCAGCATCATGTGGGAACTTGTGAGATGGAGATTTTCAGACCTATTCCCAGACCTACTGAGTCAGTAACCTTTAGATTCAGCTTAAGCTATCCTAAGTTCCTTTTAATAGCTCCATTCTAAAAAATCTGTGCCCGATCGAACCTGCCTTAAGAATTGCTTCGCAAACAGCACTCAGTTCTCATGAAGTGGTGATCAACTGCCAGCACATTTCTGAACTAGATGCCTTGTAAGAGAACATGTCTCTTAAAAGAACAAAATACAGGTAGTTTCCCCTGCACACCTCTGCTTTCTCTTCCAGGAAATCCTTCTCCCAGCTCTTGACCCTGATGAATTCCCATTTTCCTCCACACTAAATTCAAACTTCAGTTTTGGGAGAGATTTCCCTGTCCCTGGTGGAGTTAAGGGTTCACCCTTTTATATCTCATTCCCATTAGTATAACCATACCAACCTACCAGCACCTCAGCGTTGTGTTCTAATCATATCTATTTATTCGCTTATGCCCTACCTGGATCTTGAGCACTTTAGTGGGGTTGTATTTTCTTTTGTCTTTGAATTCCCAACATTGGGCACATGGCAGAAACGAATAGAGTAAATAAACCAAGCACGAATATACAAATTATGCTAGCATATAATTGAGAACCAACAACAAATGATAAAGATTCCTAAAATGTGAGTTAATCAGTAAAAACTGCAAAATTTGGGGAATTTTTCAGGAAGGATGTGAATGAGCTTTCAGCAGCTAAAGGACCATCAGGATTTAGACCATTGCTACTGTGATTTTTTTAACATAATTTGAATTGACATTAAATAAAAAGGACGAAATCAGTCAACATAAAAAAAACTCACCCAGAAAATGAACAGAAAATATTAGTCATAGAAAAATCTAAGAATAAACAGCACCGATTTTTAAGCTTTTAAAATTATGCATACATTTATTTTCCAGTTTTTCAAAATCTTATGTTGAATGCTGATAATATATAAAGTATAATTAAGTTAGAAAAGAGCTCAATTACATGGCTCACAACATTTGCAGAGTTGTTTGGCCTTTCTTAGCTCATGAGTAACCCTAAGTCTCCCTTAGGGGACATTTAATCATTGAAAACCTAGATTCAAAAAAACTTCTAAATTTGACAATTCTGTTACATGATAAATAACGTTTATTTAATGATTTATAAGAATAAGTGGTGTTGGTGGCTGAAGGGGCCCTGGGAAGGCGCCTCGGTTGTTCTTGCGCTGAGGGGGCCAGTGCGGCTCGGTGCGCAGAGACAGCTGGCAAGGGTCTGGAGTCCCCCACACCCCGCCTGGTGGAGGACCGGGAGGACTCTGAACGCTGCACCGAGCGGACTGGGCGGCCCCGCCTGCAGCAGCCGCCTCCGCAGCGCAGGTGTCAGGTGTCAGGAGACCTCTGAGATTTGGGAAGTGTAGCGCTGTGTGTCCCTGACACGCAGGTACCACTCCCATAGAGTGAACTGCTCACTCCTCGCCTACCATCCCGCAGTTCTGAGTGTGGGCGACCCACCAGGAGAGCTCTGAAAACTCCAGCACCATACTCACACGGTGCGAACCTGCCGTGAAGTCATTATAACAGGGCGCCTGGGCCACTCCTCCGCTAAGGGCCTGTGTGGGGGAGCCACACGGGAGCAGGGGCTCTGAACACCCACACACCACGAGTGGTGGATTCACTGCACAAGAGCCACGCCTGGAAAGTGCCTCACCCACAGTCCCGTGTGTGGGAGACGCACCAGGTGGGCTCTGAAAGACCCTGCAGTCCCTGACACGGAGAACGCAGGGAGAAAGCACATAAAACCTTCTAAGCCCTGTGGATTCCCGTGCAGGGGGCACACCCAGAGAGCGCCTCCATCCCTCCACGCCCTGGGGTGTCACACCTGTAGAAGAGGTGCCCAGAGTGTGCCTGGAATCCACTGGGCCCCCAAGGTGGTGCTCTACAGCCCCGGGCCCTGAGAACGCACCAACGGTGCCTTGAAAACTACCACGCCTGGCAACACCACGCCTGCAGGCTCCAATCTCTACAGGAAAGCACCTGACGGCCCCTCAACACACGGGTCCATTTGCCCCACCAGAATACACCAACGCAATGGGAAAAACCACCAGAAAGAGTTGTGCTCCAGATGAAAGAGCCAGCACCCCACCAAACAAGGGCCAAAAGCCATTATCAATATCGACGATACGAGATGAAGACATGGACGTGTTACCAGCAAAGGAATTGATGAAAATAATGCTAAAATTTCTCAGAGACGTGGACACAAAGCTGGAAGACTTCCAGAACCGCATAATCACCGAAATACAACAAATCAAAACCAAACTGGATGCCCAAGATAATAAGATTGAAAGCCTCATCAACAGAATAAATGCGGCAGAGGAAAGGATCTCTGACACAGAAGACACACAAAATGAAGGTGCCCAGCGAATTAAACAGCTGGAGACAAACCTCAGCAAAACTAATAAAATGATGCAAGAGATGAAAGATTACCTTAGAAAATTGAATATTCGGATCATCGGCCTCCCCGAGGGAGTAGAAAGAGAATCTGGGATGCAAGCAGTGCTTGATGAAATTATACAGGAAAACTTCCAAAACACTTGGAACACGAATCCACCCCGCATACAGGATGGACAGAGAACTCCCAACAGATATGATCCAAAGAGATCTTCACCCAGACACACGGTGCTCAAGTTCTACTCCAATGAAGACAAAGAAGGAATCCTGAGACAAGTACGAAGTAGAGAAAAGATCACATACAGGGGAAAACCCATCAGAATCACTGCTGACTTCTCCGAAGAGACCCTACAAGCAAGGAGAGAATGGACAAAGATCTTCCAAGTCCTGAAACAAAACAACTGTCAACCAAAAATAATCTACCCAGCAAAGATCTCATTTGTATATGAGAACGAAATCAGATACTTCAATAGCAAAGAAAAACTAGAAGAATATGTCTACACAAAACCAGCTCTGCAAAGTCTCCTTAGAAATGCGCTAGTCCCGGACAAAAAGGAGGCAAATCACAAACAAAGTTGGCAAATAAGAAGGTCTCCAAACTAAAGGCCACACGAACAAGACAATTACATAGGCAACAACACACACACAACACAATCACATGGCAGGACAAAATTGCAACCTCTCAATTTTAACTCTCAACACAAATGGTCTAAATTCACCAATCAAAAGACAGAGATTAATAGAATGGATCATCA